TCCTGGGTGCTTAGCTCTCCGCTAAGTTGTCTTAAGCTGCCAACTTCACTACATTCTTGCCTCCTGTTTACACTCAGAATACTGCTACACATTTTTAGGTTTTTGCTCACAAGTTACTTGTGTTGGGATTTTCCCCCAGGAATGCCCTAAGGTCTGGCTCTATCTGCGCCTGTGTTGTAGAAGCCACTGCAGTGATAAGCGCCATCTGACTTATTTGCAGCATCCGCTCTTCAGTTCCCCCTTGGCACAAGCTCAGAGAACAGAGCTTATCTGCTGTGTTGTCACTGTAGGACCTAGCAGAGTGCAGGGCATAACATATAAGTAGGATTAATTTTCAGAAAAATAGCTCCTAGTTTTAAAAGCCAAGTGCTAGGCTAAGCATGCTGTGAATTTATTCTTTGGAGTTTCTAGGTAAATTATCATTTGGTTTCCGCAGTCAAAATACCCGCTGGGATATGTACTTTTTTCATGAAAACATACACAGTTCACGGGCAAGACTGGGCTGTACTAGTGTGCCGTGACACTAACCGGTAAATGTCAATGGAGCTAGTATAGTACCAGGTACTTTGCATGGTTATTGAATACAAATACTCTCTACTTCCTATTCATGGGATTTTCCCCTTACTATTTCACATCAGTAAGAGTATTTTCTTTTGAAAATGCACTTTATCTCAAATTTGTATCTATGTCTTATGGGAAATATGGTCATCTTGATGAGCTATTTGGCTCTAAATTCCATGTCCTAGTTCTTAAGAAACAGTTGTCCTTTGGCAACTAAGTGGTTCACACTTGTCAACCTTCCCCATCTTTATTTCACTGCTTTACTCTGACTGTGACTGTGAACTCACTGAGGACAAAGGCTATGTACTCTTAGTCTCTGGAGAGGGACTTCACATCAAGGGATGACCAATGAATATTTCTGACAAGCGACAAATCAAAGCACAATGGTGCCTTATCACAGCCCTACTCACTTATTTCATAAAAGCTCCTTCACAGCACAAATGCCTGACATTCTAAGTCATCACTGAAGCAAACACAACTCCCCACAGGAAAACTGCAGTTATACAATAACAGTGTGTGTCAAGTTTACTGTCGGATGCAGTTTTCCTCAGAAATTCCGAACTCCAAGACTTAAGCAAGGTTCTAGTCCCTGCCAGCAGTCCTGTTGACCACCACACTATTTCTTCATAGTTTGTCTCTGACCTATATTTAAAAAGGAAAGTCTCTTAGCCAAAAAAGTATTTCAAAACCCCGCACCAACCCTAGTACACCAACCCTAGCACACCAACCCCGCACCCCTGCAAACCCCCCCAAGTCATTTATGTTGGATTTCTCATCTTCATAAAGACAAATGGGAAATAAGTATTTCTTGATTATTTTAGTCGAATTTGGAACCAATTATTTTCCTGTTTATAGAGGTCCAAGAAAACAAGACATGCAGCTAGGCTATTAATGCTCATCTTTTGTCTGGTGAATAGCTAGTTTAGACTGCTCCAGGTTAGCCACAAAAATAGAAATATACATTAAAATAATAACATATTTAAGAATATGTCTTAAACTATTACCTTCAATCTTCGAACACAACCTTTCCAGGTTGCTTTGTATTAATAATTCACTTAATCTTCCAAAACTACTATCAAACAGGCACGATTCCTAATTTCTAGGTATACTCCAGCTCCACCAGTTCCCTAGGTCGTACCTTAAATGACCTTACCCATGTCTGTCTGGCGATCCCCTTGCAATCTCACAAGTGTCAAAGTCTCCTTTACTTAATAAAACCTTTCCAGAACCATCTTCTCTTCTACGAAATAAACTCTCCCTTCTGGTCTCTAGGAGATCTTTTATTAATAAACGTTACTATTAGAAATATGTCCCTGGTTTAAAGGACATATACCTATACACATAAAAGAGGTATCACCTCTCTGACAACAAATACAGCAAGGAAATAGTAAAGTGAATGTTTTTATTTCCATGTACCTAAAGGATCAAGCTACTCTCAAATTCAAGCCTATCAGAGTGTGTGGGGTGGGGTGGGAGGATGCAGAAGGGGGGTCTGAATAGTAAAGGGCAGAACTTTCAGGGGAAACAGAACTAGACAAGTTACAGAAGCTTCTATTTATTTTATTTTTACTGAATCACCATTGAGATACAGTTACAAAACTCTCATATTTGAGTTTCAGTTGTACAATGATCGAATAACCATCCCTCCACCAGTGCACATTTCCCACCACCAATGTCCTCAGTGTTCCCCACCTCCCACTGCCTCTATGGCAGACAATTTCCCCATACTCTCTCTCTACTTTTGGGCATTACGGTTTGCAATATAGATACTGAAAAGCTATCATGTTTGGTCCTTTATCTACTTTCAGCACACATCTTCCATCCTGAACAATCCCTCCAACCATCATTGACTTAGCGATCCCTTCTCTATTCCAGCTGCCTACAGAAGCTTCTATTGCTGAGGACACATGCAGTCTATGTTACCCTCTTGAGAGTGGGAACTGAGCCCCACGTTTTCTCTTATGGGTCTCAAGAGACCCCAATGCCAGATGTAAATGATGCCACTTCTCTGGAATCAGTCACAAAGTCTTTTTAGTGAGTATACTGTGTCCAGGCAGCATGTGCTCTCCGTTTGGTCAACAAGGTGAGATTTTTCAGAATCTGGGGCCTCTGATCATTCCTTAAATGCCTAGAGCAAGCTTAAGGCCACAGTGCCATTGAATCAGCAAGCAAGCATGCAGCTAGCTGTAGGGTCAAAATGACGAGGTAGAGAGCCAGAGAGCCAGTGAGATGGACCAGCGCACCGCCTGGTTCTTACCATCACAACCTAGACTTTAATGGTTTCCTAGGCCTGTGTCTTCCTTTACTATTTAATTTCTAATTATTTAAAATTATGGCTTTTCTTGACTAACTTTTAGGCAAAAATTCTAAGTCTATTGTCAGTATTTCTCCATTTTCCTTCCACCCCTCCACAGTAGATTCTGAGATGCTATAAATTTCCTTCCCTTCATTAAAATCACAGGTTAGTTTGTAGCCCTCAGATATTTTGCATCACAAATTTCTCTGTAAAGAATTTAAAAGGGCTTTTCTCCAAGTCCTTCCATCAACCAAATAGGTCCCTGCTGCTCACTCATGGGAATTTTGCTCAGAAAACACACATATATTCGAAGTACTAAAATTGCTATCACTCTGGACAAAAACTGAGTTGAAAGTAGGTAAAGGGATACACATGATAACCTTTCTGTCTTCAGCGAGTATACTGTGTCCAGGCAGCACGTGTTCTCCATTTGGTCAACAAGGTGAGATTTTTGTACTGCATTACAGAATCTATATTGTATTGCAAACCATAGTTCCCAAAGGGAAAGAGAAAAAGGGGAGGGTGGGGGGAAGAAGTGCCAGCCACATAGGCAGGTGGGGGGAGAGGAAAACTGGGGACATTGTTGGTGGAAAATGTACAATGGTGAATGGATGGGTGTTGGAACATTATATAACGGAAACCCAATCATGAACAACCTTGTAACTGTGTTTCTCAACGTGATTCAATAAAATTTTTTTAAAAAAAATTAACATAAAATAAAATAGCTAAAAATTATGATTGAGACACTGGTGCATTGGAGCTTATAAATAAGGAGTATTTCATATTGCATGACTTAAAATGTATGGAAATATTTGAAATATGCCAATTAAGGCATTTGTTCGACCTTCTATTAAGACTCTCAAGAATATCTTTTTCTTCTCCAAGGATCTAAAAGTTTTGGAGGCTGTCTAAATAGTACTGGCATCATACAGCATTCCAACCCTTGGACCACATTCTGAAACTGAATGCAGCAGGAAGCTGTCCTAGGGACAAGGGATTGTTAAAAAGACACAAGGATTAGAAAAAAAAAAATTAGGACAATGCCCGTAATGACACACCCTAAAATAATCGCTTTGTATTCTGGGATGCTGAACTTCTCTAAAACTTTCTCCAGGCTCAGTCTGAGAAAAATAAATCCTCATCGATTGACTACAAAGGGTGAAATAAGAGACAAGACCAATATTGCTACCATAAGGCCAAGGGCAAAGAAATCACTTTTCCTAAAATGGTCTGTCTCCAGATGTGCAAATTTACTTTATGTCCTCTATTTTTCAGATATGTCTAACTATCAGACAGATGCTTGTGAAATTTCTGCCTTGGATATGCTGAGGATGGAAAATAAGCACCAGCTGAGGTCACTAGGTAAAAATCAAAATAATTTGCAGCTATGACTTCCAATTACTACTCTTTTATGGTATGAAGAGAATGAAGGGTTTGAAATGAGAAAACTCTCAATTTAGGAAAGATTCTGAGAAGAAGTCAAAAAATCTTTAAGGTAGCAACAAAGGTAATTTCAAATGTCACAAATTAGCAGAAATATAACAATCAAAGGTCAATGGATTCATAGGTAAGGTTACCTTATTAGTCATGTTTTCAAGGCATTATACTCCTAACCTATTAAATAGTACCAAATATAAAACTATTTTCTTACCTAACCTTATAACGTATATCACTAAAAACCAAGTGGTCCTGCCAAATATTTTCAAGGTGTGAAAGAATCTGCTTAACATTATGCCCTGATGTTAGGAAACTCGAGTGTTCCAACTACATCTATTCTTACAATTATAGTTACATCTTCTATTAAAAATCACTATGATTTCCATAAAATGTTAATATATGCTCAAAAATAATGATTTTTTTCCCCATTACTGATTTGGATCAAATGTGTAAGTGATCTCGGCTTAAAGACAAAGAACTCTAAAGGAGCACCCGCATCTTTTGGAAATGGTTACTTTAGGGATCGGGATGAAAAAAACACAGTTTCTTCTCCAGCAGAGAAGAGGATCTGGGCGGTGGGTAAGAACGGAAGACTTTTAGGGCTGTCACCATGAGAGTGTGGGTGCTTCCTGCCTGTCCCTGCCTCCCAGCCCACGGTCACAACGAGGGGGCTAGTGACTAACTCGGGGACGGGGTCTGACCATACCTTCGTGGGTAGGCTCGGGGTCAGGTGTGAGGGAGATGTCATCCAACTCTCGAAGGCAGAGCCATTCTCCATCCATAGACACACGGAATTTGCAAAGGTAGATGGTCTCCATGGCAGCCTGTGTGATCTTGTCAGTGGTGGGGGTTGGCATATCGGTCGGAGGCGTCAGAGCAGACATGATGACTCAGCTGGGACCACAACACACTTACACACTTAGACACACACACACACACACACACACACACACACACACACACACAAATAAAGCCTTCCCCGCCACAAAAGCCCCCAGATCCAAAGCTCTGGAACAAAGCTCTCAAAAAGAAAAAGGGGGGTGGGGGAGGTTTAAAAAGAAAAATACGGACGGGAAAAAAGACCTGATGGTTGAAGAAGCAACGGTGAAGATGAAGAATTCTCTACTACCTTTTCTCATAGGCAATTCCTACCACTTAGCAAAGTAAGATGAGGTTTTTCTTCTCCCGGCTTCCTCTTCTTTGATCGTCCCTACCCTACCCCCTTCCTTTTTCAGCTGAGCTCTAGGCTTTAAATCCTGCACAGCCGATGATGCCACGTCTGCTGGTTTGAAAAAAACTGGCCTCTGCCTGAGTAAGTGGAGGAAAAAAAAAAATCTTCCTTCTTTGTGCAGGAGAAAATACAAAAGGAAAAAAAAAAAAAGAAAAAATAATTCTTTTTCAATTGAGCTTGGAAAAAAAAAATCCTGGAGCAAAGAAATCACTTGCAGGCTGTGCCCGGAGGAGCAGGGATGCTGGGTTCCAATAGGATTGGCTGTGCGCAGGGAGCAGGGTGTAGACCAAAATGGCTGACTAATGAACTGAACTGAAAATTCAGGCTCATGTGACCAGCTGCTCTGAACACAGGGCAAGCAATTCCCAGGATGCTTTATAGATGCTGCTGATGCTGGGAGAGCAATTATGCTGCCTGCTCTCCTCCTGCACAACCCACTTCCAGACTGTGCTAGTCAAACTGAGAGCAGACATAACACAATGCACAGATCCTCATCAATTCCTCTCCCTTGGGGACAGAGGGGCTGAATTGCAGGAGGTGATTAATACCAGAAAATAAGCCACAGCAAGAATGGCAAAAGGGCTGATTCAAGAAGCATCTCAATTATTAGTTTGTTTAACGACCATTTACTTCCTCCCAATTATTATTATTTTGTATTTTGTAGATTTTTTAAAAATCTTTATGCCGCTTTTAAAATTCTTTACACTTTAGGGGCCAGGGCAATAGCACAGCAGGTAGGGTGTTTGCCTTGCACGTGGCCGACCCGGGTTTGATCCCCGGCATCCCATATGGTCCCCCAAGCACCGCCAGGAGTAATTCCCGAGTGCAAAGCCAGGAGTAACCCCTGAGCATTGCTGGGTGTGACCCAAAAAAGAAAAATAAAATAAAATAAATTGGCTTCTAAAAAAAAATAAAATTCTTTACACTTTACTCTGAGAAAAGTGGTATTTTGAAACAAGCTAGTGCAATCTTCAATTTCCCCCAGAATGTATAATCTATCTCCTGGATAGAAGTGTAAGAGAAAAGTCCTTGAAGTCAAAAGTAAACTCTTCCAAATTTTTATCAATTTCCCTACTTTTAAATAAAAAATTAACATTCTTTCTTACGTGTATCAGAACACATACAGAACAATGAGTCCTGGGTTGCAAAAGAGGATTTTAATTCTTGCACCCATCCTAAAGTCTTTGGCCACGTGTCAGACCCATGAAATGGTAATGCTACCATTTCGGCATTAAGCGTGTATTGCTTCTGATTAGAAAATAAAATTACGGGGGCTGGAGAGCTAGTTCATTCAGAGCACTTGCTTTGCCTGAAGTCTGGGTTCAGCACTCGGCATCTCTGACGGTCCCCTGACCCCATCAAGACTGATTCCTAAGCACAGAGCCAGGAGTTACCCCTGAGCACCTTCAGGTGTGGCCCAAAAACCCAAAAAGGAAAAAAGAACAAAAAATGATTTTATCTTTTAAAAGCATTCCCATTGGGGACTTTCTAAGGCACATCACTTTTATTTATTTATTTATTTTAATTTTTTATTTTTTCTTAACCCAATCAACCAACTGTTCCAACCACCCTCGTATTACCCTGTGTGGCATGTACTTAATACTTTGATTTAAAAAAAAAAGTTACTTGCTTTCTAAGCAACATACATAATATAGAGATAATGGATGACATGGATGACTGAAAACAAGTTTTTTGTTCTATTTTCTATTTAAGGTTGTTTTTGTTTTGTTTAAGCTGGAGCATACAACCATAATACATCCAAGGTGAGGAAGACAGGTCACAGGGCTGGAGAACGTGCTTTGCATGCAGGTCCAGATTCAATTCCAGGCACTGCATATTTCTCTGAGTACTACCAGGAATGATCCCTAACCCCTGACATCTTTCCTCCCCAACCCAAAAATGAATGCATATAATATTTTGTTATTTGTTGGGTTTTGGACCATACTTGGCAGTGTCAGGGGTTATTCCTGTCTCTGCCTCAGGGAGTGATCCCCGTCAGTGCTTCCGGGACCATTTGTTGGGCCAGGCAGAATGCAAACAAGTGCCTTAACGCTATACTATCTCTCCCACTACTTACAATAAAGATGGTGGGGAGAGGGGTGAAAAAATCAACTTAAAGAAAATACTACAGACTTCTTCATCTGTTTTAGCATTATCCAAAATCTGGACTCGGAGCGATTCATTCATCCAATCACTCATTTAATACACACTGAGATCAAGCACACGCAAAGCAGCAAGAGGCAAGCACCGGCCACGCTGCAATCAAACAGGAAAGTGCTCTCAGAGGAGCCAAGTTTACATGAGGAGCCCTCACTTAACACATTTGCATGGGCTTACAGTTCAAAACCAACCTCCCTCCCTCCCTCCTTCCCTCCTCTCTCTCTGTCTCTGTCTCTCTGTCTCTGTCTGCCTGCCTGTCTGTCTGTCTGTCTGTCTCTCTCTCTCTCTTTCCCTGTCTTTCTCTCTCTCTGGGTCACACCTTTTAGTATTCAGGTATTACTCCTGGCTCTGCACTCAGGAATCACCCCTGGTGAGTTCGGGAACCACACGGGTGCCAGGCGAAGGTCCTACTTATTGTACTGTACGGCTGTAACTCACTCCGGCCCCCAAGCCCTTTCTAACCAGACACATATCTCCCTTACATATTGAAATTTAGGGCAGACAGTTGACAATTTTACTGTCTGTAATAATTCCAAACTGAGTGAACAGTCACTGAAATACTTAAATCAGGGCCAGAGAGATAGTCCAGCAGGTAGGATACTTCCCTTAGATATTCATGTTCGATTCCTGGCACCCTATATAGTCCCCCGGACACCACTAGGAGAAATTCCTGAGCAGCGTCAGCAAACAGATGAAAAATAAAAACACTTTTTTTTTCCAATCAGACTTAATACTGAATAGTTCTTAGAACCATAATGCCAAGGCATTCACTAATTTCTATATATGAGAGCCAAACTCTCGGTCAGAAATCTGACGATGGCTCAGTGGCAAAGCACCGCCTTGCAGCCGTGATGCCAAGAGTTCAGCCCATAGGCCACCCACAGGTGCTGAGTGCAGTCCCCGGAGTGCTGAGTGGCTCTGACTTCTGGGGCCCTGGCACAACGTCAAAGCCAGAGCTGGCTAGTGGTGATCACTGTGTGAGCACTGCAACCAAAAACGAGCCTGTCTGCAGCTGGATGCGTGACCCCTGGCAGATGCTCCGTGTGATTTTAACACAGCTCAAGCGTGCGCCCCCTGCACTGAGCACAGCCACCTGAATGTACGTGCCCACACAAAGACACACAGCCCTACAGGCGAACGCTGGGTCGTATGTGTGAGTGCCTCAACTAAATGTGTGCATACGACAGGGAACGGGGGAACCGAAAAACAAAACGAAGCCAAAAAGAAGAAAAAAAAAACCAGAAGTCACTGATAAATTTTTGGAAATACAGAACAGTGACCAGTGCGTGTATCTGAATGCTCTGGGACCACCTTGGGTTCATCCTTATCCGGAATCATCCTGCCACAAAACATGAAACTCTTTTTTCCTCAGTAAGCACTGGCCAACCCTGAACAGGAGATCTGGAGCGGTTGCAACATACCAGCACAACAGGAATATCCAGATTTTCTAAGTGAAGAGCGGAGAGTAACCTTTCTGCCAGGTCTTCTCTTTAGGTGGAGTACAGGGAAGGAAGCCCAGCACAATGAGAACTGTGCCAAGGGGAGATGGAGCTCCCAGGCTCCATATCTGTCCCTCTCAGGAGGCCCCGGCAGTCACTGCAGACCCGGGAACTGAGGGTGGGCAGGAAAACCTGTATCTTCACTATTGTACCTTTTTGCACGGCCTACAGTTAGGAATCTATTGTGAGGAAGCAATGAATTTTACTCTGCAAGCAAGCACAACTTGTAGAAGACTAATAAAAATTCTAAATATCGCTTATGGCTGTTCTTACACGTATCACGTAAATTTACTAGCTTAGATGGTAAAACCTTGATTTTTTTTCCCCTTCATAGTTTTATTTCCCTCCATAAGTACAGAAATTACACCTCCATTCAACTATTTTCTCATTAGATCCTATATACGAATAATGGTGCATATTTGTAAGGTCATATTACAGAAGGTGGGGTACCTAAAACAGAATTAATAGGTCTGTGTGAAATTCAAATCCAAGATCTGATTCGAGCAATTCCAGCTGCTCCACAGTCTGATTCTGCATACTCTGGTTGGTCCAAAGCAAACACCACTCACAGTTTAATGCAAGAGGTTACATTCCTCTTAGAAGTATATTTGCACTCTGTTGTTACAAAGACTTACTTGTCCCTATTAGACATTAGAAAAATAATAAATACACTTCACTATTTTCTGCTGTGGGGGTGTAAGGGGTGGGGGGTGTTATATTTCTTTCTTTATTTTTTTTTGTGACCACACCCTGCTGATGCTCAGGGGTTATTTCTGGCTCTGCACTCAGGAATTCACTCGTGGTGGTACCATATGGGATGCTGGGGATGGAACCTGAGTTGGATGAGTGAAAGGCTAACACCCTACCCACTGTACTATAGCTCAGGTGCCATGTCAAGAGGTTTACAAACACCACACAAACTGCTTAAAAGAATCCCACAAAGCAGTTACCAATATTCTTTCCTTTCACAAAGGAAACCAAAGTTGAACCACGAAATTGGCTAAAAATCACACAATTCACACATGTCAGATCTGGGATTTCAAGATCATTTTTTAGATGCTCCCTAAGTACTTACTATTAATATTAGTTCTTAATACTCTATAACTGCAACACTTTATATAAAGGATTAAATTTTATTAAGAGAGGGAAGACACACACATACACACAGTTACCACCCCCCAAATCCACCCAACTTAGCACAAGCAAGGTATTCAAAACAATTTTTCCTAAATATGTTTTTCCACAACTTTAAGATTTGAAAAAGAGGACAATTTTACATCTCCCCCCCTCTCTTTTTATTGATTCACTGTAATATACAGTTACAAAGCTTTCATATTTGAGTTTCAGTCATGCAATGATCAATCACCCATCCCTTCACCAGTGCACATTTTCCACCACCAAAAGCCCAGTATCCCCCCACCAGTCCAACCCTTCCCCTGTCTGTGTGGCAGATAATTTCCACAATACTCTCTCTCTACTATGATTACCTTCAATATTTCAACACCTGTTCCACTACCACTCAAACTTGCTGAAAGGCAATGGCAGACAATTTGTTTTGTATTGCTTGTTAAGGATAGCACATAATGTCGCTCTAGGAATTGTAAAATTTTAATAATTAGGGTCTGGAGGGTTCTCTGCAGCGAGCTGCTTGGTTTTGAGATTCGTGTATGTGTCTCTGGATCGTGGCCATGTAGGAGCTTAATAAGTAGCCGGGGGCAGCTTGTGGGCGTCATCTCAGAGTCCCATCGGGGGAGGGGGAAGGAGAGGGACCAGCTCTTCCTCTGTCTCGCGAGGCCTGGCGTTTGCCACTTCTGCTCCCGCATTCCTGGACTTTTTGTTGGGTTCTAGAAGGTGGTGGCCGCCGGGATTCCTGGGGGCAGGCGGAGGGACAGCACCTGCTCCCAGGTGGAGTGGCCCGCCAAAAGTGGTCTATTGCAAAGTTTGAGGCATCTCTGCAGTGAGCTGCTCAGTTCTGAGATTTGTGTGTGTGTCTCACGATTTTATACCTTGCGTTTCCTAAACTATACCCTCTCTGAGCTTTACTTGTTAGCTCAGAATTTTAGTATGCAGGTATTTCCTTAAAACTAAAGGGGCTGGAGTAATAGCACAGCGGGTAGGGTGTTTGCCTTGCACGTGGCCTGACCCGGGTTCGATTCCCAGCATCCTATATGGTCCCCTGAGCACCGCCAGGAGTAATTCCTGAGTGCATGAACCAGGAGTAATCCCTGTGCATCGCTGGGTGTGACCCAAAAAGCAAAAATAAAACAAAAAACAAAAAACTGAAACCACAGCATATATCTTTCCTGACTTGGCTACTCTCACTTAGGGGAGGACTGGAAAATCAGGCTGCAGGGGCCCGTCCACATATCCTCATTCAGTCTCAGTCGAACACATTCAGGATTCTTGATCCAGGGCTGGCCAGGGCACCTGCCTTGCGTGTCTGAGCCTCTGAATTTGATCTCTAGCAACAGGGGAGTGAGAAGGAGGGAGAATACTTGATACAGACCTAGGACATAAGGCAAAGGGCTGGAATGGCCTTGGGTTTATTCCTTCAGTGTCG